GATTGATCTGCAGAGCCTCTTGTTTATTTTCCAACACTGCCTTCTTTTCTTGCTGTATGCAATTTCACTTTATCATCTAGCCTATTAAGGGGATTTAGCTCCTGCAGTGTCATCAGTGGTTGTGATTATGAGCAAGAACTGTTGGCTCTACTCCAGATAATCTGTTAACATGACCAGTCAAATCCCATATTCAAGCTTTTCTTTTGTAAGAATGAAACAAAAGATCTATGCTTCTGAATCTCTGGAGGTCTTTTGGACACAACTTGAACAGACTAAACAAACTAAAATAAACAGTAAGAGAATATTTGGGTTTGGCATCCAGGGAAGGATAAAAAGAAAGAAAACATGCTTTATAACAACACTGTGAAGTAAAATGTCAAGTAAGACAAAGTAATTAAAATACACAACAACTTTTTGATGAAACAACTTGCACAACATCTATTTTACTAGGATTATATGCAAGGTCTGTGTCTGCTACAACAGTAAGATTATCAGTGTTTTTAATTTGTTTGCATTCTATTTTTTTTATTCTAAGAAGAAAATATAAAGTTTCTTGCCATTGACTAAAGCCAGGGTGTGAATGTGCATAAGCAAGAAAGAGTACTGATTTGGCTAAAGAAAAACAAAACAAAACATGATAGTTCAAAAAGCTGAACGAAAGTGTGAATGTTGAATCTTCAAAAACTGGTGGTGGCAGAACCTTCCTCCAGAACTGACTGTGTTGTTTTTACACTCTTGCCTGAAGTGTAGGCCACCCGGGACTAAAAGGCATGAAGCGGCCGTCTGGCAGCATTTTCTGCCAGGATACCTCGTGTCTCCCTCCTCCACAGTGAGATGGACATGGCAAGTGGTGATAGCTAACCAGATAAGCATGCTTTTCTGTAGTCCTTTTTTATCCTTGGTTAGACAAGTTACACACACACACACACACACACACACACACACACACACACACACACACACACACACACACACAGGTTGCATTTTTTTTTCTATTAGCCTCCAGCTCTAACTTTGCTTCCTGCACATTGCTTTGGATAATTTTGCAAACAGTAGTGGTATGGTAAAATAGCCTCACTTGAGCAGACAAGACCATTAATGAGATAAAGGACCATGCAAGACTTCATTTCTGTGAATGGTTTCCATGCAATACCTTTTAGCCATCTTGCAAGCAGAATATTTATTAAGTCAAATTTCAGGTAATTTCAGTGGCTGACTGGCACAAATGCTGCAAAAGAAGATGCAAAATAAAAATGCTGCAAAAAATAGTTGCATGCAAGATAAAAATGCTACATTCATAAAATTCACTGAATGTGACTAAAACACAACTTTCATGAATTTGCAACAGTAACTTTGAAGGTAATCAAGAAGCAGATCATGGACATACAATACTGTATGTTGGTCTGTTTGAAACTACATCACAACTGTGAAAAGCAATAAATATTTATTTGTTGTTGATGGAGCCAGATGACGTTGATTTCATGGGTCCCTGAAATGTACTTCGTTTTGGATCAGCATGATAATCAGACAATTAGGTGACTGATTGTAGAGAGCCCCAGAGGGTTAAAGTGAAACCACTGGAAATAATATTCTCATCATGACTCACTAAGGTGAAACAACTGTCTCAATATTTCAGTGTGGCACAGTATACTTCAGTGTTATGACACTTTTTAATAAATCTGAAAAAAATAAATAAAATTAGATTAAAAATGTAGAAAAAAAACATTGAAAGGACTAAAATAGCTTATTCAAAGCGTGTTCTCTGTTAGCATTCCTCACAGATCTTAATATAATTATATCCGCTAAAGGAATAGAGTGTGGAAAGTCGGATTTGGGTGTAGCTTTACCTATGTAGATGTGAATTATCTCAGATTACACGTGTAGTATTTATCTTCCTCTGTGTTAATCCAAGTTGATGGGAAATTTCTGTTGCTGACTTAGCTGGCAGGAGTTATTAGACACAACAACCACTGCACTTAGTCAACACAAGTATGAGTTCATCCAGTTTAGCTGTCAATGTCTCCATGTTTTTTAACATTGAGATTAGTCAAGGAGTTATAGGCATAAGCTAATCCTTGTTATTTATTTATTTATTTATTTAATAAAGTATGTATTTTTATGATTATTCTTCAAAGTGTGTGACAGTCAAAAGTTCCATTAATACCTCTTTTCAGCATTTCTCTCTGTTGTCACATACATTTCGAGAGAAGCAGAGCAGCAAACTTTGAAGTCTATCAGCTTCTGTGTGCTGTTAAATATCAAATGCGTGTATTTGTCGTCTGGATAATTCCCACCAAGCCGCTATTCTATACTCTCAGCTTCAAGGGGGCTATTTAAAACTGTGATACATCCTATTAATTGGAAGAGGCATAAGCACCTTTTTCACTTCTTTGTGCTTTCTTTCACAGCTTTGACTCAAATTTTGTATTTTACATTGAATTAAGATAGCTGTATTTTCTTTTTCTAATCAAATCGTATCAGTTTTGTTTGGCTATGAAGCACACTGGTGGCATTTCTTCACTGAAACGAAGTGCTTCAAAGCAGCTTTTGATGCACACACCTGCATCAGAACTGATTTAATGTCATTATTAGGTAGGTAATTGGCTGAGATTACGAACACAGACATAGTTTAATTTGGATTTCTGACATTTCTGTGCAGTTCTGTTGACATGTGCATCAAATATCAGTCACAGGTGTTCCATTTCTCAGCCTTTTCCACCTGCCTCACTCTTTTTTGTACATATCCTTTTTTATACAGTAATTTATA